TATTTCCACACTTCGTTCTAAATTTTACTCCTGGTACTGTCATCTTATCCTTCTCATTCTTAGTCTAGAGCCATCATCCTCTCTTTCAAACTGTTGGCAATAAATACATCTCACACCTCATATCAGTGTCACAAGGTAGTTCAATAATTTCGTACAGTAACAAGATCTTTTAGATAAAAATAAGATAATACCATAGTAGCAAGAGAGAAAATTTACTTCTAATTGTGGTGAGGACTTAGACTGCAGTATGGAGGAATATATGAAAGACAAAGTTCCTAAACTAACTTCCATGTAATCTATAGTTAAGAAATGTTTTAAGCAAAAAGAGTGGTAATTTAAAACTACTAATTTTCCTCAAGAAGTTGAATTTTTGAACATAGTGCTTCTTGTGTCTACTTCAACAGTTTCTGCCACACTAATAGTTTTAGGGCTTATCTACATGAGAAAATCATTACACTGATCTAAAGGATATTGATTTAAAAATTGATTTACCTAAACTGCTATGAAACCCTGCGTAGCACTCTTATTTTGATTTAAAATTGTCTTATTTCAGGTTAATTTAAACTGGTAAGGAATCAACTTAAACTAAATTGAGATGAGTGTCTACGCAGGGTTTTCTGCTGGTTTAATTAAATCAGTTTAAAAAGATATCTTTAATTAAACTGGTCCTGTTTCTGGTAATATGGAGCCTTAGATTCATAGGATTCACTATATTAAACCAGACTAATACCCATCTTATCCAGCACCCTGTCTTATGGCCTGAATATTGAAGAGTTATAGATATTTTTCAAATTCCTGTTCTCTGATTTTTGTGAGCATTAAAATGATTCTAAAATGTGATCCTTTAAAAAAAATCTTCTTAACTGATGTCTCAGTGATATCTTGGGGCAATGAGTTCTACAGACTTATGTACTGTGTAAAAAGTATTTTTTTAGAAATTCTAAATTTGTTACTTTTAAATTTCATGTAATGCCCCTTATGTCATATTAACAGTGCCTAATTCATCTTCTCTGTATCATAAATTAAATTATATACCTCTGACATCTTTTTTTTTTAAATAAATCTCCTATCTAAATTAAACTGTAGGCTTTCAATGTCTTTTCTCATCCTCACATAGAAATCTTTCCTTTACTCCAAAAGTTTTTGATATTCATGTCTCAACCATTCTTTTTTGTTTTCAGTCTTTTTTGAGTTAGAGTGCCCAGAAGTGAATATGAAACAAAATACAGGTCTATGTAGCACTTTAAAGACTAACAAGATGGTTTATTAGATGATGAGCTTTCGTGGGCCAGACCCACTTCCTCAGATCAAAGTGAATATAGTATTCTAAGTGAAGACATGTCATTGATTTCACTAATGGCATTATTTTTTCCACTATTCTTCTCATCCTTATGCTGATAATATTTTCATTGTTTTTTGATTGCCATTGCACATTGAGCAGTGATTCTAATTTGATTATACACCTTGGTGCCTCTGGTCCTTTCCAGAGTGACCTCTCAGCTCTTGTTGCTGGTTGCATTACTTTTTTAATTGAAGTCACCACATATTCAATAACTTGAACAATGACATTATCTAACTGCAGAACTGCAAAGTTAACAGTGAAAAATGGAAGCTTATAACCATTTAAGTATGGCTCTTTTGATGGTAGCATTGTTTACTGAGTGAGTATATAAAACAAAGTACTAGTGGACTTTAGTAGAGCTTCATCATAGTTGGCTTGTGAACAGGTGATGAATGATGGCTGAATGATTGCCTGGTTAATTTAGATACAGACAAAGAGGAAAATCAACAGGAGTCCTCATGAGCCTATCTGCCTCACACTTTTCATATTTGTAGTTTTAAGTCCTTTTGGCCAGATTTCTGGGAACCAGAATGCTGTGGACTAAAAAGGAAAAAGGTTCCCTGCTTCTGAGTAATCATCTATTTCTACACACACAGCATGATGGCAGCATCATTTGGCAGGTTTTGACCCATACCTGATTCATGTAGAACAGACCTTTTGAAGTTATAAGCCTTTCTGAGCTTGGTCAGAATGTTTGCTAATGAGGATTCCCTTTCAGTGGATAAGAAAATGCTTCCCTTGCTAGTGTGGTAGACTGCTGAAGACATCTTCTTCCTTGTATGACTGATGTAGAGTAACAACTATAATTTTATATTCAGATGGTTTAGCCACATAATTGTATAATGAGTAGTGGACTGTATTGCTGTGATACCTCCTTTGTATTTGTGACTCACACATTGAGTTGTTATATATTCAATGGTTTATTCTGTGTGAGTGCAGTTGCACATTAGAGCGTCTTTGTTTTTCCATTTGTGGAACAAATACCTCTATTTGTCATGATTTGTGCAGATGTGCTCTCCCATGAGCTTCCTGGGAGTCAGACTCTGAGATCTTGTTCATCAGGTCTTTCACAGGTGTCTGTGATTTCTTATGAACATCCTTAAACTTTCCAAACATCATCAGAGTTGAAATTGAAACATAAGGGGCAACCTTCAGTGACATAGAATTCACCTTGAACCAAGACCTAAATATCATGAAGGAATATTTCTGGAAATGGAGACACAAGCCAAACTCCCACAAAATCACAAGTCAGTGCATTCACTCTTAATTATATGAATAATGAGTTGAAGCCATGAGCATGAGTCTGGTAATTTCTCCGAGTGACAGGGATATCCCTGTGCTGTCCACCTCTCATCTTATATTTCCTGATTCCAGGACCAAATGTATAGTGTATCATATCTGACAATGTCCTTTGCACTTACAATCTGGAATGTCATGTGACAGATGCCTATATTCATAACTTCCCAACACACAAGGAAATATTTGGTATATCTCTGCCTATTTATGTGGAATGTGAAGCCTGATTGTCTATTTGAAAGCAGTCTATCTTCTTGGGGTGTGAGTCTGAAAATCTTTATTGAGAAGACCATGTCTAATACAATCTACTAAACCCAAAGCTTTTAATATACAGTAGTATATAAGATCTTATTTTAAAATGTTCTTGATTTCATGTCAATGAAAGAATGTATGGTTCAAGTGTTTGTGCATGTATGATTTTAAAAATAGGCTAATAGGAAAAAAACCCATGGATTCATACTGGAATTAATGTAGAACTTTTTTGCTTTCCATTTGCACATAGAAATATGTCAGCCATAGAAACTTTAAAATCATTTGAGCAAATGTGCAGTCTTGCAGAACTTTTAAATGATTTATTTTTAATTTTGAGAAGCCTTTCCATTTGTTAAGTCTTATGAACAAATTGTAAAGACAATATATTAATCACAAATCAGTGCTAAATAAACTTATCTGTTAGCAATATTTGATAGCATTTTGGTCCATTACTAAAAATACAGCTTTGTATATATACGTTTTTTGAGAGAAAAGAGCAAGAACAAAAAGCACTATTTTTTGTCTTTCTGCAACATATCCTCCATCTTTGAATGCCCATCCAGACTTTTATTTATTTTTTTATTTTTTATTGACTTTTCTGTGGTGCTACTATTGTACCATCAAATTATTTCAGAAATATTAAAAAGACATAGCGAACTTGGACATTACTTTTCTATCTTAAAATTCTTTAATATTTAACAAGTAAAACCAAAGGTGCTTGCTAAAACCGATATGTTAAAAACAAAATATTTTTCTTTTTTTACTAATTTGCTTACTTTGTATTTATTTCCACCTAATGTATAGTTTGTTTCTTCTGTGCGGTCAGTGTTGGAAATTTTTTCCCTCTTCATTTCAGTACCGTTATAAGCATCAACAAGAGAGCAGAAAAATCCTTTTAATTTTTAAAAAGATGTTAAAAATCAGGGCATACTACTTAAAGGTTAATCTACCTGATTTTTTTTTAAATAGTTCATTCAAAATATTCAAGTTTAAAGTGTATCTTTAATGACTATATCCTTATGGCATCATTGTGAGGTCAGAATGATTATCATGAACTGGGACACAGAGAAATTGTGTCTTTGAGCCTTCAAAGACTTAAGCACATGCTTAACATTATGCTTGTAAGTATTGCAGTTTGCTTTAATGGGGTTACTAACATGCAAAAGTCTTTGAAGGATTAGTGAGATGCCCAAGATAATATAATATTTTTTAGCAGAGCTTGAAATAGAATTCAAATTTCCTTATTTCCAATCAAGCACTTCAAACATAGAATGCTCATAACCTTTGCTCAGTGAGTTTATTAGGTAAAGGAACAGTCCCTTAGTATTCATACCTATTAAATAAAGAGATTTTTTATTTCAAGGATTTGATTCCCAAGGTAAAACTTGTTCTTAAATTTTTATAATTCTTTACAATCAAGTTTTTTTAATACTATCCAGAGGCAGCAGTAACTGATGAAATACAAAAATAAGATTTATATTTATCTCTATTTCTATCCAAGCTAGAGAAAAATCACTTATACTGTGGCAATCCAAGCATCATGTTGTACATCTGTTACTCTGTGCTGCAGAAAAACTTCTCCAAATCTCTAAGAAAGACATGCCTTTTAACCTGTAATACTGCGAATGTGGAACAAATGACACAAATCAAAATTGATAGAGCAAGAAACTAGTGATGCTATGGAAATAATTTTGTCATTATGTATGATTATTTTTTGTGTGTGATTTAATAACGGTGTCTCTGAGGTGGTGGCTCCTTAGTGCCAGGGTTAAGGTTTTTGTTTTTGTGTTTTTTTTTTTTTTTTGCCATTGCATATTTCCTATTCGTGGTTATGAACCCTGAAATTACCAATGGCAAGAAGTTGATATACATTCAATATAAATGGCAGAATGTCATAACAAGACAAAGGAAGTGTGAGAGTGCTGTGGCGTGTGAGAATGAACATATCAACTGGCTATGTCATTCTGGCAAATTCAAAGTAGCCAAAATTTTTTTCCATACTTCTTTAATGTATCTAATGTAGTTCTTTATAATAGATATTTATTGTACATGCTTTACCAAACTTTCTAGATACACAATTTATTTTATTTTATATTGCTGTGACCACACTTTACAAAATGTTTCATTTTCTTTCTTTGATATCTGATAGCTCAATTTGTGTACATCGTACTATAGATGTGCTCTTTTTTACATTTATAAATGCACCAAATATCTTTCTGGAACATAATGTATGTGTAGCTGTGCTGAGGTTTTAATATTGCCTCTGTTGTAGAAGTTTCTTTTGCTTCTGCAAACATTATTTAGTAATTTTGTATGTATTCTAGAATTTATGCATATGTATTCTCTACAAAGACTTATAAGGGTTTTTTGTAATGACATTGAAAAGCAGCAGCAATGGGTACTGCAATAGTATTTTATTAATGAATGATGTACATTGATTCCAGCTGTGACCATGTGATTAGACCTTCACTAGGCAACAATGGGTATTTTCCTGTTGCCTTTATTTGATTTCCAAGAATGTGTCATCTGTTATATAAACCCTTGCCAATATGCCCCATGTAAAACTGGTGTTTCGTATTTTTCTGAAGTATCAGCTGAATACCCACCAGTATCCCCGCAGAAATATTGTTTCAGTTGAAAAGGGCACCTTAGTGCCTATGTCTGGTGCTGCATACCAAAATCATAATGCTTATTATAATTTAGGTTCTGTTAAATATATCATTCTATTTGTAGGATGCCTTGTTGCCTGGTAATGAGAGAGAGAGATTATTTTCACTTTTACATTTCTATCTTAATATTTTATTACAGCAGTATAATGTGTTATAGAGGTGGACAAGCCTGCAGATTGAAATGTGGATAGTCCAGATTGTTCCTTTCCCTAGACCATATGGTATAGTTCTAAAAGCCTTTTGTACGCTGTCTGTTCAGTTAATTGTAAACTCAGTCTTTAACATACCTAAAAGAGAAAGAAAGAAAAAAAGAAATATAAGTAGACTAAAAAAAGGGGCTATCAAAACCCAGTAAAGTTTGTTAAAAACATGTAAGAACTGCAAACCCTCACATTGGTATCTTGGTGGGGTTTCACTGTTAGTGAGTTTGAATGTATTTTTTGTATGAATTTTAATTTTCATGTTTCTTAATCACATCAGATAGATACACAAGTGGTAATGGTCATGTGGGGGGAGAAATATGTTCTCTCCAAATCAAATGACTGGGAAGGGAGAAGTTTTAGTATATAATAAACTGGTATTCAGAATGGTATTTTTCCTCAAGCAGACAGCCCTGTTGGTGGGTGATGTACAGGAACAACTAAGATTTATGACAGATGGGTAGTAGGATTGCTACCACACCTACATAAGTTTTGGCTTCTGATGTTCCCAATGCTCTTGATGCCTAAGAAGTTTGTGTTTGCATTTTGTTTTGATGTTGCCCAATGCATGACCTTAGGAGAATGGAACAAAGGCCCACTCTGGAATTTTATATGCCAAGATGAGAATAATTTATCAGTCCTAGTCCTCACAAAAAGTGTACAGTATGAGAAAACCATTGAATCCATTGGCAAGATGATTTGAAACATCATCCTCAGAAAGCCTGAGAAGAAAATGTCATATTCCATCATTACGCTGAGATATAGTAAGTGTAGTTGTCCTTGAAATAATAAACATGTGAAAAAATGTACTGGAAAAATCATGTCTTCTGTGTGATATGATATTTACTGTATCATCGGGGCCTTTGTGTTGCTATTAAATTACAAAAGTTGGTAATTGAGTTAACATATGCATTCAAATCTTCTAATATTACAAAATATGCTTTAAAATATTTTTTCTTCTTTATAAAATAAACTCTTTGAATCTTGGTGCCTGTGTACTATTGAAAACAAGTTAAAATGTATAATATAAACCAATATTAATTATAAAATTTCCTCACCCATCCAATGCATCAGGGCCAACAATTTCTAATGTTCTCTAGTTTGAAAGACTATGTATTTAGCAAGTATCAAGGTCAGTAAACTCTCACTTTTAAACCTAAGTGGGAGGAGTGTTCTGAAGTAGGGATGTAAGCAATTAGTTGAGTAGTCAGGAAATCAGAGTGACTATTCGACTACTTGTCCCCCATTCCTTGCTGCCTTTGTATGAGAGGCAGCAAGGTTGGGGGAGCAGGAGCTGGTGCTAGGGGGAACCGGTTTAAAAGCTGGTTCCCCCTAGCACTGTCTCTGTGGTGTGCCAGGTTGGGGGAAAGCAGGGGAGGCAGAGCCTCAATGGTCTTGGAGCCACCGTGAGCCAGGATTGCTCAGTCCTGGGTTGTGCTGGCCCCAGGAGCTACCGCTGCTGCGGCTCTGCATTTTAAAAGTAGTAAGAGCCAGGCTGACTTCACAACACTTTTAATCACACCTAGAAATCATACAGAAGCTTGTTGTGGTAATTGAACATGGGACTAATGCGCGTGTCAGAAGTCCAACTAAATAACTCTGCTCACCCATTCTGCACAGACTAAAGTTTTACAATGATATTTAGATACAGAACCATGCAATAACCTAGTTGTAAAGTATTGGAGGCAAAAGAATTTATAATTACAGAGAGGCCAGCATCAGGAAGAAAAATGGGCTTCTCACAATTCAGATGAAATAAAAGGACTGTTGACTATTTCTTTACATCCAGAAGTAGGCATAGCTCCAATAAAACTCCCCCAAATTGCAAACCTGGATAATAAATTCTGATAGAGTTATATGTTTTATAAGGGTAGTGTACCCAATTTAAATAATGTAAAGGCAAATAAGAACAAGATGCTCACCTCAAACTGGCAGCCCAAAATTTCAAATGAAAGTAGCACCTGCAAGCATGAAGAAACTGAGAAGTAAGAGAAACAATTATTTTGGCACATTTTGAAACTTCACACTTCTGAGAGAATCTTGTTTTATAATGCCATGCGTTGTCAAGCACCCTGGAATGAACATTGGTCAGCCAAAATGTAAATTTGGGATTGTAGTATAGTATGGCATCTCATGCATGCCAATGAAATGAGAGGCATGTTGTTTACATAACATACTTTGGTTGTGGTATGAAGTTAGTGGGAGCAAAGTATGCATCTGTGGGCAGAATTTGGTTCTTATGGTCTGAGCAATTTAAAGGCATTGAAACACGAGCAGCTATGGTTAATCATAGAATATTAGGATTGGAAGGGACCTCGAGAGGTCATCGAGTCCAGGACCAAATACTGTCTAAACCATCCTTGATAGACATTTATCTAACCTACTCTTAAATATCTTCAGAGGTGGAGATTCCACAACCTCCCTGGGCAATTTATTCCAGTGTTTAACTACCCTGACAGTTAGGAACTATTTCCTAATGTCCAACCTAAACCTCCCTTGCTGCAGTTTAAGCCCATTGCTTCTTGTTCTATCCTCAGAGGCCAAGATGAACAAGTTTTCTCCCTCCTCCTTATGACACTCTTTTAGATATCTGAAAACTGCTATCATATCCCCCCTCAATCTTCTCTTTTCTAAACTAAACAAACCCAATTCTTTCAGCCTTCCTTCATAGGTCATGATCTCTAGACCTTTAATCATTCTTGTTGCTCTTCTCTGGACCCTCTCCAGTTTCTCCATATCTTTTTTGAATTGTGGTGCCCAGAATTGGACACACTACTCCAACTGAGGTCTAACCAGTGCAGTGTAGAGCAAAAGAATGACTTCTCGTGTCTTGCTCACAACACACCTGTTAACGCATCCCAGAATCATGTTTGCTTTTTTTGCAACAGCATCACACTGCTGACTCATATTCAGCTTGTGGTCCACTATAACCCCTAGATCCCTTTCTGCCATACTCCTTTCTAGACAGTTGCTTCCCATTGTGTATGTGTGAAACTGATTGTTCCTTCCTAAGTGGAGCACTTTGCATTTGTCTTTATTAAATTTCATCCTGTTTACCTCAAACCATTTCTCCAATTTGTCCAGATCATTTTAAAGTATGACCCTATCCTCCAGATTAGTCGCAACCCCTCCCAGCTTGATATCATCTGCAAACTTAATAAGTGTACTTTCTATGCCAATATCTAAATCGTTGATGAAGATATTGAAGAGAGCCAGTCCCTAAACAGACCCCTGCGGAACCTGACGTGTTATACTTTGGGGTGTATTAATGATCCAGCTATGGTTCTGAGAAGGAGTTATTAAACACTGAAAGTCAAAACAGTGACTGAACATTTTGTAATATTTCTATATGCTCAGAATAGCCCACAAATCATTGTTTCCTCCTACAGCTAATGTCTTCATTAACAAAACCACTTCTTTCTTTACGATATTACAATCATTACTGTTCAATTTAAGTTTACTTATATACGGCAAAGTAGATAATTTAAACACAATATACCAATTTGTGCCTATGATCAGAGAAAGCCATTTAGCTATTTGTGCTGATTCCAAAATTTGAGAAATACAGGTTGAACCTTTCTAATCTGGAACCTTCAGGCCTTGAACCACCAAGAATTTGTCAGATCACACAAGATTAATATTGTCTAGCAGCATTACCAACACTTCCACTAATTACTAGCCTCTTAGAAGACATTTAGGGATAAATTAGAGCTAAATAACATCACAACATTGAGAGCCAGGACTGTTGATGGTAAACTGACTTTATGGAACTGTGGGAAACTTGGCCACATTTATTATAAGTGGACGTCCAGCTAACTAAAACCACGCTAGACCATGGATGTTGCTGGATCAGAAAGTGCCAGACTCAAGAGGTTCAACTTGTAATATAAACATTAGCATTTCTTGAAGAAAAATATAACTAATACTTTTTCATAGCAGATTCTACTTGTTAAATCTAATTATACTTTTAGTATATGTTTCTTTAGTTTAAATGACACAGATGTCCATTCAGTAAGCTCTTAATGCCAACTTAATTTGTAAGGTGGTGAAATTTGATGCTGCCCTTTTAATGAGAAATAACCTCATTTGATCCATAAAAATAGTATTTAAAATATTTCAGTTGGTTAAGAGAGAAGAAAGTTGCATAGTAAATATCTACACACAGAAGAGATGTGAGCATTTTTTAAAAAAACTAAATAGAAAATCCATGCCCCTTGGTTCTTTGGCTAGTAGCAGATGCATCATAGAAATTATTAAAGCATAGTGCCATAAATGTAAATAGTGCTTCTTAAACATAGTTAGGATACATTCTGTAGGTTACAGTACAAATCATACAATCACAAAATTACACCCTGAGAAGAATGTAGGCCAGTGTTTCCCAACCAGGGTTCCGTGGAACCCTGGGGTTCCACAGATCGTCAGAAGTTCTGTGAGAAATCGTGGAATAAATAAATATTTTTTTCTTACCATGTAAGCTGATTATATATATATATATAAACAGCTCTTTACAAATACATTTTCTTGACAATAATTTAGCAGTAATTGAATTGCACTCCCCGCTGTCAACTTTTTCTGGCCAAGCAAACGTTTTCATAGGTCGGGGTTCCTCAGGATATGAAAATTATTTTAGGGATTCCTCCATGGGGAAAAGGTTGGGAATCACTGATGTAGGTATTACTGATGAGACCAAAAGAGGAAGAATGTTTTGAACGGGTAGGCTTTAAGGTGGAACTTGAAGGAGAGGACAGATAATCACAGTAGAATGTTTCTTTGCAGAGGGAAACTGAATGCATGAAACAAGGATTGGGAAAATTAGATAAAGAAAATAGAAGATGAAGAGAATTAGAAAGAGCACAGGGAGTAGAGTGGTTGAAAATGTGATGAATTTTTAACAGTTTTTTCAAATGTGTTTTTATAGACATTTTTGAAATTTATGAACGAGGAAGAGTTAGCAAATGAGAGCAGAGATGTAGTTGAGAGCAATTTGTGTAGTGACTTACAGTATGTCTTCATTTCAGAAATTATACAGGCATAGATATGTCAGCATACTAATGCTTAAATAGCCCACCACTGTAGAGGCAGCCTACGCTGACAGAAGTTTTTCTGTTGGGCTACGTCTAGACTGGCCCCTATTCCGAAATAGCCATGCTAATTTCCAACTTTGGAATAGGGAAATCCGCGGGGGATTTAAATAAACATGTCCGCCGCTTTTTTTCTGGCTTGGGGAAAAGCCGGAAAAAAGCGTCTAGACTGGCGCGATCCTCCAGAATAAAGCCCTTTTCCGGAGGATCTCTTATTCATACTTTCTGGTAGGAATAAGAGATCCTCCGGAAAAGGGCTTTATTCTGGAGGATCGCGCCAGTCTAGACGCTTTTTTCCGGCTTTTCCCCAAGCTGGAAAAAAAGCGGCGGACATCTTTATTTAAATCCCCCGCGGATTTCCCTATTCCAAAGTTGGAAATTAGCATGGCTATTTCGGAATAGGGGCCAGTCTAGACGTAGCCTTGGTGTAGTAAACCAATAACCTGAGGCTACGTCTAGACTACATCCCTCTGTCAGCAGAGGGATGTAAATAAAGCACTTTGAAAGTGCAAATGAAGCTGGGATTTAAATATCCCGTGCTTCATTTTCATAATCACGTAATGGAGCTCTTTCGAAAAAGCGCTATTTTAAAATTGAAACCGCAGTCTAGACTTGCTTCTTTTGAAAACAGGGTGCTTTTTCGAAAGATCCTTTAACCTCATTTTTGGGGGTTTTCAAAAGAACCGCGTCTAGACTGCAGTTTCAATTTCAAAACGTTATGTGATTATGCAAATGAGGCACAGGAAATTTAAATCCCAGCTTCATTTGCTCTTTCAAAGTGCTTCATTTACATCCCTCTGCCGACAGAGGGATGTAGTCTACACACATGAATGTCATTAGCTATGATGACAGAAGCAGTCTTCTGTTGACACAGCTGCAACTTTTCTGGAGCTTTTGTCGACATAACTATATAGGCACTCACCAGACCATTGTAATTGTATTCTGATTTAACCTTTTAGTAGAGCAAGCCTTAGAGATGAAGATGAGGGTTTTGAATTTGATGTGCTAAAAGATATTAAGTGATCTGAATGGAGCAGGAGAAAAGAGAGATGCTTCAAAAGAAGTGTTTTGGATTGAGTTGAGTAGCATAGAGTTGAGACACAGACCAGGCAGGAGATTACTGCAATTAAGGCAGAGAGGACCACTGAATGATCATGCGATGCTGCTGCTAAAACAGTAAAGAAAAGGCTAATTGCGAAGAGACAGTATTAAAAAGAATGAAGCAGTAAGATTTAAGGAGCAATTTGATATTGCAATGCAGGGGACGGGAGTCAAAGACTTTTAATGGGATTACAAGACAAGCAGACAGGAAGAGTAGGGGAGTTGTCAGTAGAGATAGAGGAAGAAGGTGACAGCAAAGCATTCAGAATAGAGGCAGCAAGGGGATAGTAACAATCAACTAGTGCAATGGTCTCCAACATTTTTAAGCATGAAGTCACTTTTTGAATTGAAATGCAATCCAGGATCCACCTCAAACTCAAAACGCTTTTGCCCTGCCTCCTTCTCACCTCTTCTCCAAGGCCCTGCTCCTGCTCTCTCCATCCTTTCTCCCTTCCCCACACTCATTCACTTTTACCTGGCCGGGAGTAGAGGGTTTGGGTGCAAGGGAGGGGGATGTAGTCTCTGATCTTGGGCTAAAGGATTTGGAATTTGGCAGGGGTTCTGAACTGAGCCTGAGCCAGGGAGTTGAGGTTCATGATGGGTGCAGACTTTGGGAGGGAATTTGGGTGCAGAGGGACTCAGGGACTTGGGTCTAAGAGGTGTTCAGGACTGGGGCCAGGATTTGGAATGCAGCTTCCAGCTGGGCACCACTTACTACAGGTGGCTTCTGGGTGTTGGTGCAGGAGGCTAAGGCAGGCTGACCCCTCCTCTGGCCCTGCACCACTCCCAAAAGCAAACAGCAAACTCCCTCTATCTCTGCCCGCCCTCCCCCCCTCCCAGGCTTTGTCCTAGGCCATGTCCCCTCTCCACCCCTTCTACCAAAGCCCTACCCCACCTCTTACTGCCCCACTCTATCCATACTCTGCCTGTTTCTGCCCAGTTCAGCCCCTACCCTGGAGCATGCTACATCCTCACTCTTCCCCTCCCCTCCCCTGCCATCCTGAAAGGGGGGCTGCCGCAGGGTGCTGTGCACTCACCAGTTTTCCCTTTAGAAAGCATCACTTGTGGTGCCAAACCTTTGTCCAGCATATTTGACAACTTTTTATGTTAGACCCAGATTGTTCCTGTAAGCAAAGGAGAGATACCATTCTGTAGTCTAAAGAATAGTGAGTGAATCTGGCATAGAATATAAACAGAAATGTTCCCATAATGGGAAGAAAAAGTCTAAGATAATTTTAAATCCTCTTTAAGTGTCTTTTGACAGTTGATACTGAATCTCTGAAATCTTTCAAGAGGTTGTTTGCAAATAAAAAAAAATTATCACCTTAAGTGTTGTATAATGGACTTCTGTTTTCATAATGTTAGCCAGAATTGGAATGACTGGTTCAACCCTCTTCATTTTAAAGTAGAGGAGCTGTAATGAAGATCAAAAGAAAATTGCACCTGACAATTCCATTTGAGTAATGGCAGCCTTAAACTCTGCTTGTAAAATCCCCAGAATGTTATACCTAAATTATCACAGAACTCTAACATTTCAATTTAATATAGAACTTTAGAACACATCACATTTTGATAATTCATTCCAATGTAATGCAAGAGAATTTTGAGGGGTTTAAAAAACCCTCATAATTTAACATTACTTGTGATTTATAGTTCTTCAGGTAACTAAAAAGAAAGATGTCTTTAGCCCTCATTTTGTTAGCCACCAACAACATCGCTGATTTTGTTTAAAAAAACTGAAGGGAAACCAGTGCACATTTCCTTATGGTGTTGCTGTATATTCTTCATGTTTAGGACTTCAACTAGATTTCATAGTGTTGAGAATAAAATTAGTCCTTCTTCTTTGAGAAATGTCCCCATAGGTGCTACACATCAGGTTGCTGAGCCACCACTGAGCTCCTTCTCCGGAGTCTTCAGAGCAGTGTCCCTGGGGCCACTCATGTGTGCGCCTCTAGCCGCATGCTCCTAATGTGCAAGCATCACATATGAATGAGCCCTCACCCCCAGTTCTTTCTCTATTGGCACTGGTCACAGATGGAGCTTGGCAGTGTTGCCCACCATGTCCTGCATTTTAGATAAGTAAACCCAATTTATCCAGTTCTTACCTGTAGCTAGTTAGTTAGCTCTCTCCCATTGTTAACTGTTCTTTATTCTCGTTCAAAAAAAATATTTTTTTTCTTCCCAGTTCTTTATCCCCATAGTTAGAGAGTGATAGTCAGTGCCATGCTCAGTTCCCTGAGTTTTAAGTGCTGTTCCTCATGTAAGGATCCTGTTCTTGTCGTATGGACATGCTCATTGTGTCTGTTGCCTCGGCGAGACACAAGAAATGAGACACAAGAAATGCCCTCACTATGCTAAACTGAGGGTCAGAGCACAGCGTGATAGAGATCTATGCCTCAAGCTGATTTTACTTAAAAGTTGTTAAGACCAACATCAGGTCTGGGTCAGCAGTCCAATAAGTTTCAGGCACAAAAGGACAAAAATCCCTAAAGAAACATGCCTTCTCCTTACATCAGGAGGCTCTGGCACCTAAAGGCTTGTCTCCGGCAACCACGGTGCTGCAAGCGGCTCTGGCTCTGCGATTAAGTACTTACGATTCACTGGGTGTGTCTGGCACTGCTATGCAAGCGGGTCATGCAAAATTCAGCTCAGAGGCCTCAGGCTTCAAACTGCCTGCTGTTACCAGATTTGCCCAATACTCTGGGGTATGCTCATTTTTCAGGGTTACCCTTATGGGACTGGGGGAAGGTTAACAGTTCTATCAGTGTGCTGTTGGTGCTTACTTGGGCTCTCATATGGAGCTGAATTCTCCCTGCTGCCAATTCCCCCTCCCACTGGAGCTCTCCTGCAGGAACTAGGTTCCTCAGGATGGGGTTCTTCCCACCTTAGCAACACACACAGACACTCACACCCACTAATCAGAGCACGTCTGAGAGGACTGGGTACTCAGCACTCACAAGCTGACCCCCACATATGTCCCTGGACTCAGCTGGCTGGGTTTCACAGCAATGCCACACTGCACCCTCATGTGCCTTTGGACTCCGTGGGCTGGATTAAACAGCACTTTAAGCTGCCATCCTCATAAGCCCCCAGGTTCAGCACCTCCTATCCCCACTTTCACACCACAGTCATTCACTGGTAAACCACACGATGAGCAAACCCCACAGGATTTTGGGCACTACAGGGATCTTTTGCTTGGGTACAAGAAGCGTTGTTGCAGAGCGAATGGGGAAGCCAAAACAACACCCCTTAAGGAAGAGTGAGCAAAAGAGAAAGAAAGAGAGAGAAGCAACCAGCTTAACAATGAAAGTGATTTATTTCTGAGTAGTGAATAGATATCAAAAAGTTACAATATTAAATCTAACAATTATATTATTAAATCTAAATTGAAGCTGATTACAAATGTTAGGTAACCATATAACAGTTTACACAGGGCAGGGTCAGGAGGCTATGCTTAGAGAGATAGTTGAGAGAGAGAAAGAGGGAGAGAGAGACCTCACCACTCCACGGAGCTTGCACTGATCGGGGTTCCCAGATGATGATGGTAGCCGGGGGTCCAGAGAGCAGGAGAAAAGCAGGACAGAGCCCCCAGCACGATCAGACAGGAGATGAAGAAGTCTCAATGGAACTGATGCAGTTTAAGTCCAGGTATCAGAACAGTTTTCTTGGGGCAAGGATAGGAGTTTTTATAGGGATAGTTCAAAGAGAAAGAGGAGAGACAATAGAGACTGATCACCCCTGGTTATGGGTGATGTTCCTTGAAGGAGCTCACAATGCAACTAGGCAGTTTCAGTATTTTAGGTGTCAATAGGATCGTTACTAGAATTGGTCTGATAATGACTCATTTGGGTGTGAGCAGGCCCGGGTTCATTAGCATCTGGAGCAGGGATTTTCCATCAGGCAGTGCTTCTCTGTTTTCGGTGTCCCATAGTTCACTGCGGTTCCTGCCTTGGACGAGCTGCTCTCCATTCTGTATGCTAATGAGATGTCCCTCTGTTCCATCTTTCATGTAAATGAGGCTGGGGTGTTTCCTTAATTATATCACCCTTGTCTGAAGCAGTTTAGGTGGATCTTCCCCGGCCTTTTCATTGCTTTGTCTTTGATTCTAGCAGAGGCCTGAGGGAGGGGAATGGTTTTCCATGAATGTCACTCCCTGGCTCCTCAAGAGCACAAGGCTGACAGGTGACCATGTTCTGGTTTTCCAAGAATCACAGAGCTGGTGGGTAACACTGCCTAGAACATCATGACACCTACCAGCACCAACGTTATTTTGCCAGAACCTACCGGCACTGATATTACTTTGCCAGCACTGTGACTAGCTTCAGTCGGAACATAATTCCCAGCACTGCCACAGCACTGTAACTAGCTTCAGTCCGAACATAATTCCCAGCACTGCCACAACACTAACTATGTCACCTGGCTGCTTGGTGCCGAGACATCATATGGCACCACAAGTGGCATTGGTGCAGCCTACCACAGCACTGTCTACACCAGCGCAGCAGTACACACACACTGGTTTCTTCAACTTTCAGTTCACCTTTTCTGTGCACCCTTGATTTACTCAGGGCCCTTTCTTTTTATATACAATGTACAAGACTATTCACGTCTTCTCTTAGGCTGTTTGTCTCTATAGGGAATTACAATAAAAGTCAAGCCATCTCAGCTCAGTGACTCTCTCACTTTATTTCAGACTGTATAAGACTTTGCTATTCCTTATCAGGTGCTAATCCCCTTGACAGTATAAGGGCACAGTCATCTAGAGCCATGTCTACTTAAGTGGTATTTCTACGGAAAGTCTCTATAGTAGACATTTGCACAGCTACCACATTGTCATCAGAACATACATTTCCAAAGCACTATGCACTTTCTCAAGGACCTTTTTCTAATCTCAGATTCCCTAAAGTAGTACTATCTACTGCATTCATGCCATATTCGTAGCCCCTACCTCTTTAGAGAGATACAGCTTTGCTGTCATCTGATGTGGAGCACCCATGGGGACATATCTCTCTTGAAGAGGAGCTTATCATCTGTGCAGTAACTGATTTTCTTCTAGATGAGTTCCCAGGGGTGCTACACTTCCTTCTCTTTCTCCCCTCTACTTTGGAATTCTGATCTCCTTGATGGCTATTTGGTTCAAGTGTAGAGAAGGAAGTAGGTGGGTGGGGCTTGCGCATGCACGGTGCTGGCACAGTAAGAGTACGTGGCTAGAGGCGCATGCATGTGCGACCCCAGCAACACTGCTCTGAAGACTCCTGAGAAAGGGCCCGGTGGTGGCGCACCGACCTGATATGGAGCACCCAAGGGGACACTCATCTTGAAGAACATCAGTTACTGCACAGGTGAGTAACCTCCTCTTTCCTGATTGTTGTTACAGATGTGAGTGACTTTATGTTTAAAGAAAACAAACACTGTCTTCAATTAGTATTTCAAGATACAGCCGGTCCCAGACTTATGAACGAGTTACGTACCAAACACTAGGTCGTTACTCAATCTGTTTGTAAGTCAGATTACATTCACTGAAGTAAGGCCGTGCTGTTCATAAGTGCAGATTTCTTTTGTAACTCGGGTTCTGGCTGTATAGGAGGTTGGTCGTAAATATGAACGGTCGTAAGTCGATGTGTTTGTAACTCGGTACCAACTGTACCAGATTCTATTTCTAATTGTGCTCTGACTGGTAGTCTTTTAAAATTGCTAACCAAAATTGCAGGCCACCAAAAGGAAAAGGAACAATTTCATTAACTTTGGCTCTCAGATTTTGTGCAAAAAGGACATCTATTGATGTTACATGACAAGAGTGCAGATTCAATCGATTAAAATTTAATTTTTTCTTAATTTAGAAATTGCTGTGGCTTGTGTGCTCCAATTTCTTTCCTAAATAGAGATAAAATAGGAAAAACAACAAAACCTCTTTATGCAGATGAAGTAAGTTCCCTTGCCAAATCCATTGATAGAGATGAAATATCTGATAGCAGCCATTGAGGCTACTAAGGATCTGTGAACTGTATATTTAAATATTTCAAATGAAAAGTAAATAAAATAAAATAAAAAGCCATATACCTACCCTTCCTTTACATAAACTGGTTATAATTTTAGGTCTGTTGGATTACAGACCCCATTTCTCATCAGGATTCTAATATAACCAAGGTATTTTAGAATGCCAACCTATTAGCAGACTGACTTTTTTTTCTATAATAGGGAAGTAGCTACTAATGTCTCCTGTCAAGTTTAAAAATAGTGCTATAGCTCCCATTTCCCCATCTAATAGTTTCCTTTTCACTCAGAGATATTCTAAATCAAGCATCTTTCATTCATTTAAACTTAATGTAAGCCAGTAAGAGAATAGGAATTAACAATATTGTAGAAGAAATTTCTTGAAATCCTGTCCAGTCTCAAGAGTTTCAAACATAGTCTCAGTAATATGTAAACCA